CATCTTCGTTGCATAATGAAGAAACCGAGGAGCCGCTGGATTCCTCTTCGGCTATTTTATATGGAAAAGTGAACAACCTTTTGAAATTTCAAACCGGTTCCGCAATTACCATAACAATTGTCCCCTCGGACCCGTATCTAGAAAACAACCTGTTAATTGTGTAATTATGGCCGGTTAAGGAGCCAAAACGGCGGAATTTTCGATCATCTGCTCCAATTACAGCCACAGTTGGGACAAAGAGCCATTTCGCCAAATGAATTTATCGCCATATTAAAAAGCTTTTAGTTATTCTGATGAGCTTGCTCCTCTCCATAAAAGTAACGTTCACCAGTAAAAGTTTTCGTGAAATTCTGTCCTCTCGTAATTAATTTAATTGATAATGGCGGTTGAACTTGTTGGCTAATGTGTGCTATAGACGAGAAAAACGAGAAAATGCACCGCTAATTTGTTTAATTAAATCGATCAAGCTGAAACGTTTCTATGTGTGGCGCCCTGTAATTGACTGCCTGTATTTGCTTGCCTAATTGGGATATTTTCTCATTTTTTAACTGTTAAACTAATTATCGATAATTTGCCACACTGATTGTATGGACTCTTTGAAACGACTCCACCTGATCGCTTGTTTTCTTATTATGGCTGGCCAAATGATAAATAAACAAGTACCGCTAATATAACGATCCGATTTATGATAAACGGTAGTGTTTGCATAAACAGACTACAAAGTCGCATTGTGCAAAAACGTTCATCACTGTTATAAAGTTTATCGCACAGACGCATCTTTCATTGCAACATTTTGTTTTTAATTCTTTTATAAAACTGACAATCGAAAATATAAACCGTTCATTTATCCGATGACATGCTGGTATTTTTATAGCGAGTGATGCAAAAAATGCAACACAGTTTTTATAATCAGATGGAAATGTAGCTATACCGATAAATAAATTGTTTGTTTATAAAAGTTTGTAAGACATATACTTGATTAAAGTAGAGGCTTTATATTTTTATAGTCGATGTGAAATTTTTGATGAAGACGTATGTATTCCAAAATATAACCCTACTATAAACGTGTACAAAATCTATAAATTTATAAAAGCTCAGTATGTTTACGTAACAAGGCCAGAGAAAAATTCCTGTAAGCTGTACTTACAACAAATTTCGTTACACGAGTCTCAAAAACATACAAAATTTTATGATGCATCAGTTGCCGCGTTTATTAAAAAAATAAGATCAGCAATATTTGTTAATACTGTTCTTAACACCTTTTTCAAGCATGGATAAATTTTGAGCGTTACTAAAAAATGGTACGAATTATGTCAGAAAACACTTTAAATAATCAAATAAAGAATGACTTTAGCCAGTATTTAATTTAGAGTATAGGCAGATATTTGGTATTTTTATCAACTTGAAGTAAACAAAATGATGATTAGGATTATTATAACGAAAATAGCAATAAACAAAACAAGATGTGTGTACTGGAATTTTGGCGCCATATTTAAAATTTTATTAGCATGAGTAAAATTTTACATTATAATATGTTCTATGAAAATGAAAAACATAAACTCAGCTCGTATAGCGAAAAATTAAATAATCGCTCAGTAAGGCCCTTTAAATTTGATTATGGCTATATACATGAATTATAAAATTAATGAATGCATAATGAGCACGATATCTTTATGTATGTCGTCTTATAAGAATAATATTGTATTTTTGTAGTACTTATTCGGTTTGTTGTAAGTATGATGCCTTTCGTTGTTACAAAATATTTATAATTGACAATAATTAAAAAAAATAAAAATTCATTATTAGAAAGTATTTAGTACAAGTGTATCTTAATATGTCAGTAAATTTATAATTTAATTGAGATATTATTAAGTCGGACATAAAACAAACAAGAAAGGACATAGCTTTTAGTTTTGGTTATCATGCCGACAAAAGAAAATTCTGATTGTTTTAATATCTAAATTCTTTATGAATTCGAGCCGAACTTCCAGCAGAATAATTCCACTACCTATCGAAAATAGATACAACGCTGATACATTTTTCATTACACCGTTAATATACGGTTTACAATAAATTACGGTTATGAACTTGCAAAAACGACGCGTCAGATATAAACAAAACCCATCAAACGCTCTGACGCCTAATCATCTCCATTGCAAATGCAGCTTTTCCATAAACATCGATATCCTTAATTATAGATAACAGTAAATAATTCGTCATCCATTATTACTCCGAATCTATAAAACCCGTCCGATCTTTGCCTGCACGTTATTTACGTCGATGGTTATGAGTAAACACAGCCAGATTATTGTATAAATTCCTCGATCCGATCAAAGAAAAAAAGAGCTCTGCACAACATCACGCATCCTCCGCGAGCCATAACACACTTCCAGACGCAAAAACAACAGAAGCGTCCCAAGGTGAGTAGGTCCCATAGCAATTTTCTGTCCCTTAAGAAAGGGTACGTCGAATTGGGTTGCTGGGGCAAAAAATACTTATATGTTTAGTCAACAAGATTATTTCGTTTGACGTTTAACAGCCAATCAGGTTTTCACACATTTTAAATATCGCGTTAACGAAATGGTTTTCCAGGTGATAAAACACACTTAACTAATTTTCTTGAGATAACTGCTTGCTCGTGTTTTATTGACTGGTAAACCTACCATTTTATTTTATAAATTGTGTGCTTTATTATTTCCGGTGAGCGGCACTGGAGCTATGAGATTTTAGTTGCTATAAGTTTCTGGAAATTTGTGGTGCGGACTCTTTAACATAGTGAATTTAAGTCTGCTATATGATTTCTTTAAATAAAAGCTCTCGAGCTAAAGCTCTCGGGCTTTTATGGTTATGAGACACGTATGTACTTTACCCTCCTAATAAAAATGTCAGTCAAACGCTCTCGTAAAAATTTATCAAGTTCTGTTTGTGAGAAAACCCCTAGTTCCACTATATTTTCCGTAAATTTTGAAATAGGTAACTCCTAAAAAGGTTTCACTAGAGTATTTTAATTTAATGTATGTACTTTATCCAAAATATAAGAAGTGCATTTTTCGTAAGTACTTACCTACTAATTAGGTACTTTTTACAGTGCATACCTACATAATTTTGAGAAATTTGATCATTGGCTATTTAAGGTAATTTTATTAAGATTTTTTTTGATAATGTTTTTTTGCGAGAAGACCATTATCTGAATATCTTGCCTGAATTTTTACAAATGGAACTGTAATGGTCCCAGTTTAGATATTATCTTTCTATTTGAACAAACCACTTGGATAATCGGCAGGACTGGATTGAATATTTGTGGGGCCCAAGATTCACCCTGGACGCATTCCTTCAACGCTGCAATATAATGTTTATTACTAAAACTTTAATATACAACAATCTTAGGTACATTTTTTGAGCAGTTTTTACGCTTGAGCTTTGGAGATTCTTAAATTTCCTGGCCTAACATAATGCACATAATTTTAATTGCGAAAATATTTATTTGTTATAATTTTTCAGTGTTAGGTTAATATAATAGTCATAATAAAATAAAATACGATATACCTATTTAGTTATAATAAATTCTGATTAGGGTTGTAATAATAATTTTTATACCTAAGAACATCTTATCAAAGCATTTTTTCTACCACATCATATGTAGGTACTATCGCCTTAACTTTTTTTACAGTCGAACTATACAAGTGCTTCATCTGTAAAAATGTAAAAGAAATCATTATTTTATATATTAAATATCTTTATTACAATCTTATTAGACCAAGATTAAATTAAATTACTCTTCCATAATTTTAAGACCTCAAGACCAAATTGAAATTATTAATATTTTTGAAAATGGTAACAGAAAATTTGCTAAATACCTTTACTTTTAAATGTTCGACTGTTACCCTATTGGTTCTTATCGTCATTTTAATAGTGTAATAATAAATACGATATTTTTTACAATAATTTTAATAAGGGTCTTAAAAAAATTTGCTAGCAGTTATAATTATTTACCATTGTACTACATTTTAGGTTTAATTTTGTTCGTTTCATGTATTGTATTGTAACTGATATTCACCATAGTCTGTTACAATAAAACGACTTATTATTATTACAATACCTTAAAATTTGTGTTCCCACCCACTAATAACACTGCCATCCTCCATAACACACGTGAAAAAAATTATAAACCTCTTACCACGCCACTCAATTTATTCTGTGTATACAGAATATTATACCTACTTTCGTTAATTTAACTTATTCCCGTTTCAGTTGTCTATAATAATTAAACGTTTCGTTTCTTTCTACACACTACAAGTCGAGGATTACCGTTGTAGAATTTTTTTTTGTATGATTTATAATAAGGACTGACAATTACTGCACTTAGCGGGACACCTTTCGCTCAGGAAAAATCACGCCATCGAAAATAGGATGATTCAGAGTAGGCTGTGTTAACACTCTACAGTTGCAAAAGACGTCATTAAAGTAACATATTAGTAACGAAATGATGAACGCAATAATAAGCATTTGACTAACACAAAATGTCATTGTCTTGGCATTACATATTTATACTGTAAATTTTTCGCTAGTTCAATCAGCAATCATTTTTTTCTAACCACTGTGAGTCATGGATTACCGTTATGGAATTTTTTGTCTAATTTAGAGTACTGTTAATCATTTACTATAGTTTGCGTGAGCCAGTGCAACCATCGAAAATAAAATGATTCAGAGTAGGCTGCGTTAATATTCTATAGTTGCAATAGAGTCTTCATGACAAACGCAATGACAACCATTTGACTAACACAACGGTGTATTACACGTTGTTGGAAAGTTGTCGCCAGTTCAGTTAGCAATGCCAGCCGTAAAACTTTAATAAAATCCCGCTCTGCCACACAATGTTTTCGAAAGTAATTTTTCTGACGGGTCCAGCTGTGACCCAGGTCGACATCTCCGAGGTTATCGATTCGTTCGCGCTACCTGTTTCGACTCGATGCCGCCGTCATCAGCATGCATGGACTCACCTGAGGTGCGCCAGGAGCCCCCGATCAGCACATGGCGGCAGATTCGCCTGGGAGCGAACCTCTTGCAGCGGTGCAGCAGCCACCGTGTTGCTGTCGACTGCCCGCACTGACAACAACAGCAAAGGAGGATGCGCGCCGTCGCCGTCCCTATGCGCACCCCCTCGCACCTATTGTTCGCCCTTCTCGATTGGCTGGTGCACCTGCTCGGCCTCGCCGCCGGCTATTGTCACCACCACACACTGTCCTAACCTCACTATGACCGCAGTCTGCGGATGACCGATAGCGCGTAAGCGTGCGTGTGCACTGCGTCCCAAGATGCGTCTGCGGCCGCCGCGCGCCGGCCAGCGCCCCACCAGCTCAGCACCGCCTCCGCCCCTCCCTCGGGGCCCACGTGTGCGGCCCGCCCACCGCGCGAATTGTCGGGGCTCGCGACCCGGACAGGCCAAGACGCGACGACGATTGCGGATTCGCATTGTTGTCGGATCGAGGCGGGGCGACGGATGGGACTCCCACAAGACAATGATGATGATAATAGGGCTAGGTTATGTAACTTGCGGACAATGCAAGCCAACCCGGGAGCGGCGGAGGCGAGGGGATGGAAGAAATGGTATCTTCGCAGAAGTTTATACTTCTTGAAGATTTCTTCAAAATATAATCAAATTATAACAATGTAGATATTGGCTACAGTCGAACTCACGTTGCAAGTTTCGTATTTACTGGATTAACATTTTCTAGTGTATTTTACGGGTAAACTTTTGATGCTTGTGCTAATACGACTTCTGAAACCTGTGGTCAGTATGTTCATTATTTTATTATTATTTAGCTTCTATGGATCTATCGATGTCCAGCAGTTCGATACCGCATTGTGTGAAAAAAATTCACAGATAAGACTACTTTCAGTATACTTTAAAATTTGATAAAAGTAGAAATAATATTTTATATTTGCGATCTTATTTTGTATAGTATTTGTATAGGTAGTATTAGTATATAATGAGTGATCAAAAAACGAACAACTGAACGAAACACGGAAATTCAAACGATGGATGTTACAGTGACAATGAATCTGCGGATAAGTCTTTAGGACGAAAAAATGACGGACAACTAGTAACTTATAATTCCATAATTTGAGGAAATATGCATCTATAACCATTAAAAAAAATCGGAATACATGTAATGAACATTTGTACACCTCGTAACTGAAAAAAAAAAAGAGAAATGAATCCGGAACAACTTACTTTTCGATTATTATATAAATCGATGGGTATAGAGTATGTGCATAATCATGTTAAAATTTCCTTTAAATGTGTGACATCAGACTCGTAATTCGTAACTGTTATTTATTTATTCTTAACATATTCCTCGGTTATTCTATGATAATAAATTGCATTTCATAAATTTCTTAAAATTAGTGTCAAATAAGTTACGTTCAGATATTTCCACTAGGCAAGAAATACGGTTGGGTGATTAATTTCTAATTTAGGAAACTTTGCACTGTGTGCTGTTAATTTGTATGGAGGAAACGAAGTAAGCATTCACACAATGTTGTTGAGACTTTTTTTTTATAACAATGATAAATTGGTGGAGCAAAAGGTGTTTATTAATTAATATGTAATTTGATTTTATCTTTGGATTCTGATGTAAACTTTCTTGTTATTTGTTTTTTTTAGTCGCTGAGTAATTAAAAACCGTTATTGATTCCACGTGTGGTTGCGAACTTTGAACGTTATCCTTTGGTTGTTAATAGTGTTTTCGCATTTTTGAAACTTCTGATATGTACACCTATATTGTTGTTATGCTGTCAGACTAGTAACTTATTATCAATATTTGTTTTTTTCATAACAAGCATAGTAGTTTCAAAAAGTGTACACATTGTCCTAATTAGTGCCGAATTGTTTCATTGTTAAAATGCAGTCCTACATAAAATATTTTGTTAGCGCCCTCGAATGATTTTTTAACTCGACTGGTGCCTCGTCAACTAGTCGTTTCATATTGGCTTCAATTTGTTTTCATTTTGTTATCATAAAAAGCCTCAATAATAAATTTATACCTTTTGTTGTGATGTACAAAATTTTTATTCGTACTTCAACCTAAAAAAAGAAGATATTAAATTTTCGAAAGGAACATGAAAAAAATTTGCCTTTTTTATTTAGGTCTATGTAGTTCTCTAATTGTGTTTATTTTAATGCGTTAAAAATACACATACTTATTTAAAATTAATATGCAATTTTTTTCTCAACAAAAGTCTTTACTTTGTGCTCTAGAATATATGCAAATAAGCTAAACCGCAAGCCGTTGATTATAGGTTTTTAAATTTCAATTGTCAGCGCATTAATTATACACCTGCAGGTATAACATGATTTTAAAACGTCAACTTTTTACTAGGACTTGGAAAAGAAAGCAATTTAAACGATCTGGTAAAAAAGTCGTTGCTGCTCTCTTGTTCTGCATAATCTTTTTTTTTTTTATTCTAGTCGCATTAAAACACAACAATCCATATTTTTTCTTATAAGCTTTTAACAAATTTTTTGAAATTTGGGACCTCATCGATACATTTTTAGTAAGAAAATCCTTACGAAATTTATTTGATTTGGCAAAAAATACTGAAATTAAAATCTGTGTGAACAAAACTGATACGAACTTGCAAAAGTTTTTTGTTTTATATGATGTTTTGAAAATATCTTTTCCATTTTTTACTGAGTCGGCAAAAATTCAAACGAATCTGGTAAAGTGTTTCTAAAGATATTTGAAAACAGATTGCACTCTGAGTAGGATATAAATGTCCCTACCGTAAATGTTTCAAAGCCTCGCGCCGCAGGTCAGAATTTTGCATTTCACTGCATGCGGGCGGATAGTACTCGGGTATTTTTATAGGGATTAAGCTCAATAGCAGGCAGTTGAAGGTAGACTAGGAACTAATGACACTCATAATGTGATTAACTCTGTTTCCAAATATCTTTAGAAACACTATATTTGGTGGATTATTGCTTGAAAAGTATATTTCTGATTTCCAGGTCCGTATATATGTAATTATCAGCCATTTTCCATCACAATATCTATTTATTATGAACTTAATACCGTAAAAAAGCGAACTGGTATAAAATTTAACAAAAAAAGCTGTCTTAAAGGCAATGACATTTTCTCCAATATCATATGTCTTTGACGGCAAAATACCTACGTTAAGCTCGTAACTCAATATAAAAATAATACCAATTAAGATTTTTGTAAACTTCCAGTGGTTGTAATGAGTGTAAGGGATAGTCTTAAAGTTGTGAACATTTTTTGTGTCTTGAGTGGATTTATATAAATTTAGAATTGAAATATAAACTAATTTTGCAAACTGTTTTAATTTGATGAATCACGTTTTTATCACAGGACGAAGTGGTAAATATCGTGTTAATAATATTGTAAACATGTGTAAAATTCCTTTTCAAGTTGAACCTTTTATTTTTTATTTTTACTAACTTAATAAAACGGAAGAACTTTTAATATTACAAGATCATGCAAAAAGGAATAGGTACATAGTTTCGTATTTGATAGTGCCTAATATCTTTTTTCCAAAATTTTCAGGCAAAATTCACTTACATATGTCATTATTAGAAAACCAGTTCACATTCACAACTAATAAGAATCGACGTCTTTTTCGTGAATTGAAGAGAAAGAAAATTCGAGGTTTGAATTAGTGCGCAAAATTAGTACAATTTCCGCATACATATCTAAGTGTCGACAAATTTAGCCTTCCATCCGCATTTTTACTTTAAAACCTCACTTATTACAGCCACCTCTTGTATCACCGCTTCCTCATTGCACGACATACCTTTCAATTTTAACGCCCGAAATCGAACGTCATTTTTTCAATTAACAAATCTTCCAGATTAATGGTTCTGTTGGTTTAACAGTTAATTCCATCGAAATTGATTGCTATCGGTGTGAAAAAGTCCTGATTTATTCGTTTGTTCGACACTCCGATGCTAGAAAAAAGCTGGTCATATTAATTACCTCACGCTCTTCGAATAATTTCGTGACATGAACATCGAAAACATTTAAGCAAATTTGTATAATAACTGGGTCGCCGAAGCCACGTAATAAAAGCTTTCTAGTGTGAAGAATGCGAAAAATCTCATCGTAACCATTAAGTCGTTTCATTATTGAAATATCAATTACAAAAAGGGGATCAGCCGAGATAAAGCCGACACGAAAAATGCATTTATAATTTTTCTTCTCGCATGGATTAGCGCGACAGTGAGCAAACGTTGAAGCAGATCTTTGTGAGAGAGCTCGGGCAAAGGAATAGGAGCTTCCAAGCGAAAGAGCTCGTTCAGCTGAAGTTTCAGTTTTTGTGTTAGCAGCCATGTAAAAGGACATCGCCTGAAAGCTTCGCGAGTGTATTAATAATGCCGTTCAAATGGACTTTATCTTGTTAAAAATTGGAATATTTATGTCACAATAACCTTTTACAGGCTGATGTGGCGTAAATATTTTCTAATTGGATGCAGAGGCAAAACTGTATCCGTCGTTTGGTTTTATTCAGTTTTTTCTTGCGTTGTAAACGAATAAAAATCACTAATAGCTCATTAAATGAGAGATTTTTGTGAGGACTGATGGATCGGAACAAGCAGTTTCAACAGCCCACGCGGAATAATTAACTACTTCTAACAATAATTAAAATATAAACAACTCATTATATCCTATTATGGCATAATTATCGTGACAGCATCAAGATTTTATTTTAATTTTAATTCTTATACTTAATTGTCTGTAGCTTTTACAGTAACCCATTATTCGGCTGTTTCGGTCATCACCCGATTTCGACATCCGCATAAAAAAGATATCCCTATTATTTAAAAAGCAAAATGTACCACTTCTTATGTTTTGTTTTTTTTTGAATATCAATCAAGTATTTTTACAGTCGTTATGAAGATTAATTCAAAAACTCCACAAAGAGTTAACTATCTAAAACTCGTCTAATAAGTGATGCAAATTTTAATGCTTGCTATCTGCTGCTGCTCTACAAAGCCACATCGTAATCCATTTCCATTAACGGTCCGAGCAAACACGATTATCTATTCTTGTCAATAGCAGGAATAAACCCAATTTTTAATAATAATATGAAGAGGTTTCTTCTATCCAGACCTATTAATATGTATTTTATGACAGCAATAAATAGACGGCTTATAAAGTAGCGGTCGATTTTTATTACCTTTTTTTATTAAATGTATGAAGCAACCTTGCATGAGATTTTATTGTATCCTGTTATCTTCACTCTCAATTTTATTCTTCATCATTTAACTCGAACGGCGTTAAGATC